GCATAAAACTCCTTCCTGGCTCCTGCTTTGCATACCCTTGAGCATGGCAGGTGTGTTCCTAAGACCCTCGTGATGGCTTTTCTTTGTGCCTGGAATGCGTTTTCCCACATTGCACTGAGAATTTAAGAATTCTCTTAAAGTTCTCCATCCTTGCTCAAACAGCACCTATTCAGTTAGGCTTGAATCGACCCACCATAGTTAAAATACCAGTTCCCACATTTATTCTGCAACTTCCCCGTGCCCTGTATCTCACCACTACCTTCTAACACATTACAGAAAGCACTTATTTTACATTTACTTTCTGCCTCCTCCAACACAATATAAGCTTCATGGATTTTTGTGTTTTGTTCACTGAAGTAAACGGGGCATCAAGAACAGTACCTGAGAGATGATGGGCGTCAGAGAAACATCTCAGTCCAGGAGTGTAGGTAAACGTAAGTGTAAGCTGTGTGGAGGGCAGTGGGGTAAAAGGGCAAGGCGGGGGCCCGACAGGAGGCAGAAACTTTACAAAGGAACGAGGGTTTTGTGACGCCCCATTTGACAGCTGACAGTCTAAAAAATGGCTATTACCTGTTTAAATGTCCTCGGGTGCAGCAATTGCTCATTATACTGATCTTAGATTCTGAAAAGCTCCTTGTGCAGCGTTCGCGTCTTTCAGCTATGGTCCGGGATAGGCATCGTCAGTATTCCTTCCTGACTTTGTTTGTTTTTTTTGCGGTACCGGGAATCGAACTCACGACCTCGCCCTTGCCAGGCAGGCGCTGTGTCGCTGAGCTAAATCCCCACCCCCTCCTTCCTGACTTTGAAGTTCAGAAAATCAGAAGGCTCTGCATTGGGGCTAGGGCGTCTGAGTTCGCGAGTGGAAAAGTTGGAGGCGGACTCACCCGGTCAATGCATCTCCGGTGCGTGCCATCCTGCGGGTAGGCGCAGTGTCCGGCCCCGCGAGGCGCGGGAACCCAGGCCCTCCCAGTTGGCCCAGGAGGCTCCAGCCCACCCGGCTGCTCCCTGGTCCCTGAGGGAGGTGCTTCCCGCCCCGAAACAGCAGCTGGGTTCACAAGAGGTGCCGCCTAGTCCTCTTTTAAATTTTTTTTTAAAAGCACATTTTATCGGAACATTTTAGATATACATAATGACCACGTTCATTACAGAGAATTTGTACCTGTACATGATATAAGTCCCCCCACCCCGCATTCCCCTATCCTCCCTTCAACCCTTCTTGCTCTCCCATTTACAAAAGCTTTGTTTTCACTTTTTCCTTCTTTTCTTACCTTTTAAAACTTGCCCCTTCTTTCCTTTCCTCTCCCTCCTCATTTCCCTCCCCTTCTGAACGTTTTCTTCCTATTTTACAGTATTCAGTGAATTTTTCTAATCAAATCTTTGAAAAGAATTCAATTTGCTTCCATAAAGTCAACAGTTATCTTCCTGCACCTATATTTTACTGGTTCTTTTTTTTTTCCCCCAGTATGAGGAATCGAGCTCACGACCTAGCACTTGCCAGGCAGGTGCTGGGCTGCTGAGCTAAGTCCCAGCCCCAATATTTTACTGGTTTATAGAATATTTAGTTACATGTTACAGGAAAAAATCCCACAGATTTAAACAGATTTGGGACTAATATATAATCTTAGTGAACGTATAATTTCATTGGGGGATGGCACACCGTGTTTGGGTGACTAGAACTATCTTTTAGCCTTGGACATTTGTAGTTCTATGGTCATCAGCCAGCGTTTTTGAAATAAACAGAATGCCTAGCTGGTTGTGGTGACACAGGCCTGTAATCCCAGTATTCAGGAGGCTGAGGCAGGAGGATTACTGTGAGTTCAAGGGTAGCCTGGGCTACATAGTGAGCTCAAGGCCGGCCTGAACTATGTAGCGAGATCCTGCCTCAAAAAAAAAAAAAAAGAGAAAAGAAAAGGAGGGAATGGAGAGATGGTTAATTAGGTGTGATGGTTAACTGTATGTGTTGACTTGAATAGATTAAGAACTGCCTAGTGAGTTAGTGGCGCACAGTTCTAGGTATGTCTGTGGGTGATTGAGACATAGAACCAAAACTGAGAAGGGAAGACCCACCCCAGGTGTAGGTGGCACCAACCAATACATTTGTAGCCTGGATGGAATGAAAAGGGAAAGAGGGAAGCATTTTCTGTGCTTCTTTGCCACCTCCTTCTTTGCTAAGTCTCTTCATTCTGCCCAAGGGCTTCATTTCTTGCTTCGGATCCTTGCTGTGTCCCGGGGACCCACTTCCTCCCTTCTTTCCTTCATCACACTGGTATATTCCAGCATCTGGACACACCAAACCTCAGAGAAGCTGTTTCTTTGCTGCTAACCACTCTGCCATTTTCCTTTTTGCTTCTTTGGAGGAGTTCTGTGGGAGACCACCAAACTGCGTTCCCCTGAGAAAGAAGCCCCTTGCCTCCATCTTAACCTGACCTTCACCTCAACCCTAATTACTGAGATGTGCAGAGCTGGCTATATAGAAACAGACATTCCCTTAATTGGCCAAAAGAATGAGATAGAGTGTGGCTGAGGTGCCAGTGAGTCTCAGCATAGCAAAGCAGGTCAGAATTGCCCCCTGCTGATGGCTGGAATAGAGGCTTAAGCAAGAGCCTGTGAGATTCCAGGGCTAAGACATGAGATAACATCCCAGCTGAGGCCTTGGTACGCAAGAAGAATTATACCCTCCTGGCAGTACAGGTGCCAGCCTTGCATACATCAAGCTGTCTGTTGCATTGCTAATTGGAGGGCTCTGTGCCTGGTGGAAGAGTGCTCTGTTTCTCCTTACAGCCATGCCTGCAAAGTCTCTCTTCTCAGCACTTTGCCTTCACCCCTACCCACTTCCCTTATTAATACCAATAAAAGCTATGAGCTGTCAGACTTGTCACCCTTTGTTCTGTAGAGAGCATTGGGTCATCCCTGAGCTCAACTACAGATGTTTCTTTTTTTGTCTTTCTTTATCATCCATGTGCCATATTGCTAGGTGGGAGACACAGGGGTTTTGGTAGAGTTCACGATTGCCTTTGGACATTTGCCTCAGTTCCTCCAGCCTTCTAGTGCAGATTCTGCAGCTTTGCAAAGCAGGCACTTTGGCTTTCCCACACGAACTCACCAAGACTAGCGAATGAGCTCTAGGCCACTGACCTTTGACTAGTTCCTCTGGCCTTCCAGAACACAGATGGCCATTTTGGTTTTTCTTTTTTTTGTTTTTTTTTTTTCCGGTACCGGGAATCGAACTCACAACCTTGCGCTTGCCAGGCAGGTGCTGTGCCGCTGAGCTAAATCTCCAGCCCCCCAGATGGCCATTTTGCATTCTTCTACCCCGGTTCTGCAGGTGGCCATTGTAAGCCTATGTAGTAAATTCTTCATATAATCATACATGTATATTTTATACTAAATCTGTGCTTCCAGTGAACCCTAATACAGGAGGTCAGTGAAGAGCCTAAAGTAAGGCAATGAAGGTGGAAAGGAAGGGATGATTATGGAAGAGGTGATGCCCAAGACATGATTACCATTTGGACATAGGCAGTAAGAAAGAGAAATCTAGGATTATTCCTGGTTTGGACAGTTGGATAGGTAATCATGTTGCAATTCACAGAGATTAGGAATGAAGTAAGAAGTTCAGGGCTGGGGATTTAGCTCAGTGGCACAGCGCCTGCCTGGCAAGCTCAAGGTTGTGAGTTTGATTCCTGGTACTGGAAAAAAAACCCAAAACAAACAAACAAACAAACAAAAAAAGGTTTAGTGTCTTAAGATTTTTCTCTTTGCTGAGACAAAATACCCAATGTCCAAAATTAAGGAAGGAAAGATTTATTTAGCTTATAGTTTATGGAGGTTTCAGTCTATAATCAGCTGGCTTCAAGGCAGGGTAGCAGGGTACAGGGGCCACACTTCAAGCCCGCACAAGACAGCAAAAGCAGCAAGAGCAAAAAGTTAGGGAACAAGCCTCTTTTTCTAGCTTATATTGTATATCAGCTCTCGGCCAATGTCCACACCGTCTCTGTGCTCTCCTCTTCCACAAGCTGAGGATGTTTACAAAGTAAGGACCCTGGCACCCTGCTGAATCATTTAGTTGAACTTTTAAACTTCTGAAGTTGACACAATGAACAACATTCTAGAGCAGCAAAGCTGTGTTGGTTTGGGGCGGCTTATTTTGCAAGGGGAACAATATAATACAGGACACATACTTTATATGATTATTTATAAGTCACTCAAACAACAGTATACAAGAGTGCAGGAAATCTGTCCACACACTAAGACCAAGGAATCCAGCTGAGGGCCTGGATCCCACAACAATGTCCTACATGAGTTGAGCTGAATACCCAGAGCTCATAACAATGCCTCCCATGAATCCAACTGGAGGCCCAGAACCCATGACAACATCTCATGCGGACCTGTTTCAGGGATCTGCTGGGAAGGCCCAAAGGTCAGTGGTGGAATCTACAAAGTCTGTGCCAGCAGGAAGAAGGATCTATGCTAGTAGGCTGAGGGATCTGCACTGGAGCCAGGAAGTGATGCTCAGAAGAACCACAACTCCCCCAAAAGGTACCATGGCCATCGTCAGCAACTGTGAGGTCCCGAGCTCCTCCAGTGATCAGGATGGCCGAGTTCCCATCAGGGAAACCAATGCAGCAAGCTTCTCCAGGAGGCCGGCAGTGCACCATCTTCCCCTCCAGAACCAGGAAGCTATACTCAAGTGAGGACCAGAGCTCCCCAAAGTGAACCAAAGCCATTCTCAGTGCCAGCGAGGTCCTGAGCTCCTCGGAGGATGAAAACAGCCAAGTTCATCAGGAAAGCCAACTCCCCACAGTCTCTTTCAGTTCCCAACAGCCTCTCTCAGCTCCCAACAGCCTCTTCTTCTCCAGGTCTGCCTCTTATGCTGCTGGCAACCGTCCTCAGGTGGGTCTCCCACACCCAGCACCACTCACTCAGTTCAGCTGGGGGTTATAAATTGACCACCAGTTATCAATCCACTACAAAAGCCATGTCCTTTCACCCCAGGATGTAGAACTGCTGAGTTACTTAATTAAGCTTCTAGGCTCAAGCTGACACAATGTATCAACCACAATAGGTTCTGGGAGAAAGATGTAATTCATTTTAAAATGTGTTTGTTGTATTTGAGGTATGTGTTCTGTGTGTGTTTGTTCCTTGTGCTTACAGCATTCATTACATTTTCTTTCTGAAACAGTACATGATCTGCTCTTTCTTACTCTCGCTTCTCATAGTTTGTGTGGGAGGCACCCAGTTCTAAGAGAAACCCGGGTCTGATAGTCAAGAACACAGGTCTGGCCTAAGTCAGTCAGTGCCCTGGGTTCCTCTGCATACAGTGACTGGCCTTGGGGTGATTACATGATCAAAGAATCTCAGTACCTTTGCTAAAATTCTATGACAGAGAGGATTGCCTTTTCCCCTTTCCCAGTGAATTCTAATCTGAGTGACTGTAGCCCTAGCAATGTTGATCACTATCTTACAACCACAAGGAAGGGGAGAACGGAGCCAAGACTGAGGAAACAGAACCAAGGAATTTAGAGGAAGATACCAACTCCTGGAGCTTTAGCAAAAGCTAAAGTTACCCCTGGCTTGCTCACTTACATGAGTCAATAAATTCCTGCTTTTGCTTAAAGTAATTTAAATTGAATATTTCAGTTGCAACACAAAGAATCCTCATTGTGGACACCCATGCACAGATGCTAAGGTAAACACGTGAGCTGGGAATTGTAGATTTGAGCCTAGGCTGTAAACATAGAAAAGGGATGTAAAGATAGAAAGTAAAGATAGTACATGTAGCGGGCTCCTTTGAAAAGTTAATCAAGTGATGGGGAGGAAGGTAGGGTTTAGGAGTCAGGGAAGGTATCTTTGCAGCCAGTTCATTTGCATGACGTCAGTATTCTTTTCTCCTTTGCTAAGATTTCCCATTGGCCTCCAGGCCCTTCTGCCTCTGCTTCTCTTTTTTTATTTTATTTTTATTTTTATTTTTTCCAGTACCGGGAATCGAACTCACGACCTTGCGCTTGCCAGGTAGGCACTGTGCTGCTAAGCGAAATCCCCAGCCCCTCTGCCTCTGCTTCTCAAGCTGTGTTCTCTTTAGACTCAAAAACAAATGCCTACTGGCCACTGCCAACACCCCAACAGCACCTCCAACACAACATATCCTCCTCCTGGAGTCTCTCCACCACTCGCCTTCCTTACAGGACCCATTCCATAGGGCTTGCTATTTGAATCTTGAATTGATTGGTATCCCCCAGCTCCCCGCCCAGGCTATTGCTATGTTGACCTCAAACTTGTGACCCTTCTGCCTCAACCGCTTGAGTCCTGGAAATACAGGCGTGTGCTGTCACTGCCTCTTTGGATCTTCTTGTCAGAACTTGAGGGTACCAAGAAGTAAAGATTTCCCAGTCGGTTCTCTCGAATTCTGATGTGTTAAAGTGAGGGCCAGTGATTTCTTGGTGGAGTAGCAAATAGTATATACCCCTATAACCAGTATAACTTCAGATGCCTGGTATTTTTCCATCTCTTCTCTGGCATACTTTGAGATAATGACACTTTTTTTGCATACATGTCAAGAGAATATGGAAGGTTTCATTTGCTAAAGCTTTTTCTCCCCCCTTCTTGTGCTGCCAATGAATTAAGGAACTCTATCTAAAAGCCACAGTTCTACTTGAAAAATTTGGGACTTGCTAGCCTGAGGTACCGGCCTTATTGCTGGAATGTTGTGGTCAAAAAGCAGTTCCAAAATGGTCTGATCTAGTCTATTTACCTTATGTGGGAATGAACTGTGATGCAGATAGATTTTTGCTAGTTAAAACTCATAAGAAGCCAGGGGTTACCTGCAAACGTAGCACGTCTCCCCTGAATTTCCCAAGCGTGACTGCACACCAATAAGAAAATCCACTTCTTTTTCCCTTTCTCTTCTGTCATCTGGCCCCTAGCTCAGCCTTCTCAGTCTCTCTAGACCTCCCTGCTGCATTAGCTGGGAGTTCAGAAAATTAAAGTGAGTGTTGAGCCAGGTGGCATTTGCCAATAATCCCAACACTCAGGAGGCTAAGGTAGGAGTTGATTTTGAGTTTGAAGCCAGTTTGGGCTACTCCATCTCAAAAACCCAAAAACCAAATCAAAAGAAACATCATTAAGTGTAAGCTGGCTGGCTCTGGCTCATACCAAACCTCAGTGAGGAAATCCATAGCCAGGCGTGAGCACTTTGATTTGCCGGGGCCCCTTTCAATTCTCGGCCATCCCAGCTCCTCCTGACCTGATGGCGGCGCCCTGCTGCTCCTTTGCCTGAAGTGCCCCCTTCATCCCTTCAAATGTTTGCTCCTTCTGTCCCTCAGATCTCCTCAGAACAGTGCCCTCCCCCAGCCTTCAGCAACACGCCTGTAACATGACCTTGTCTTTCCCTCCCGGGGTCTGCCACACTCAGTCCTTTGTTTCCTGGTCTGCGTATCTGTTCCTTGTTTTCTCCCCTGCTAGTGCAGCAGCACCATGCCGCCTGGATGACCGCCTCCTCCCGGCCAGTGCCTGTGGCAGGGGTGGGCAGATGTTTAACGAGTGAATGATGGCAACAGGTGAGATTGCTGCAGCAGTCTGCAGATGATTCCGGTTGTGTCGTTGGTCCCGATTATGTGTTCACCAAAGAGGCACCTTTGCTGTGTACTTGGATGCTTCAGGTAACGGCTTCCATTCCTCCCATTCTCCGCCTTCCCTCGCACACATTTTCTGACTCTCCAGCGTATGTTTAAAAAACAAACTGTGGTTTTATTACTAGCATCAGAAGTGGGCTACATGGAGTGGTGGGTGGGCTGGGCTGGGGGTCTGTGTGGGCCAGGAGGAGGTGATAACTGAGCGCCTGGCAGGGGCAAGGCGTGAGGCTACCCCAGGGGGCTTTAGAGACGCTTCTGGGCTGCCAGGAAGGAGTCATGGCAAGCTTGGGCTAAGCCGCCAATAAGGTTAAGAAATTCTTGGAAATCTAGCTGCCCATCACTGTTGAGGTCCAGCTTCTTCATCATGCGGTCGAGGACACCAGGGTCCTTCTGGTTCTGCAAAGATAATAATAAGAGCTTTACGTCACACTTCTACGGTACTGTGAAATATGCTGCCACGCTTATTCTCACTGGAGTAAGGCACAGGAAGGGGTTATTAATATTCCCACTTTTCACACTTGAAAACAGACTCAAAGAGGAGAGGTCCCTGCCTCAGGGTCAGAGCTGGGATTAAACCCAAGCCTTCCTGCTCCTAGTCCAGGGTTCTTTCTGTGGCACTAGGCATTACTCAGGTTCACAAAATCAGTGCAATACTTCTTTTGGGTGCTGCATGTGATGCCAATAGGTAAACCATGTACAAGTGGAGGGATTTCGGGTAGAAAGAGGGTGCAGGCCCTGCCCAATTAGCTGCATCCTCCACTCTGCTGAGCCCTCAACACAAGCTCCCTCTCATAGCCAGTGCAGACACGCGGGTGACTTAGAAAGCCAGTCCTTGACACAGTTCTAGCTCTGGTTCAAGCGCTCAGTGGACTCAGTGGTTGACCATGTGGGTGGTGCCTACCCTGCCGGATAGCACAGAAAGCCTTGTCAGACAGGACTGCCCTAGAGCGTTTGGGATGCAGGAATACTACTGGAAATGATTTTATTGTGATGTTCATTTCAGACACCTCTCCCTGGTCATGGAAAGTAAGTCACCATTCTGTGTTAAGCAGTTTGTGTACTAGGATCTTTACTTATTTCATTTTGTCTTTTTGAGACAGGGTCTCACTGTGCAGTTCAGGCTGGTCTTGAGCTCACTTTGTAGCCCAGGCTGGTCTCGAACTCACAACGATCCTCCTGCCTCAGCAGCCTGAGTGCTGGAATTACAGGCGTGCACCACCAAGCCTGGCATGGATGTTTAAAATATATCTTATTCCAGAGAAAAGGCTCTTTAATTATCATGCAGTGCTCACTGTGAGGCTCAGAGCTTGGCTGCCACACGGACTTGGAGTGAGAAGGACGCAGGACGTGGGAGGTCAGCTCCCCATTTCCCACCATTCTGCCAGGTCTTGTTTCAGGCTGTGGGAGGTTCGGGTGTGGGCCAGAGCCTTACCTTTGTAAAAGCACCCAGTTCTTTATTCATGAATGTGAGGAACTCTGTCTTGGAGAGTGTGACGCTGTTCCCGTCTTTTCCAGCATACTTCCGGAAGACAGCGATCAGGGACTCGATGCACCGCTCGGTCTCTGTGGGGCTGGACATTTTTGCCTTTGGAGAAAAAAAAAATGCAGAGCTCAGACAGGGACTAGATAGCAAAGGCTGGATACTGCAAACCTGCTGCAGCCTCTCATCTCCTCGTTTTGGAGCAAAGCGGTTTACTAAAAAGATCATCTTTCAGGGAGCTCAGGGGTCCAAGGCAACCATAAGAAGTCACAGAAAGCTTTAGATGCTCAAAAGCAGATTTCATATTTAGGGGCCAGGAACCATGGATTTTACTGTGAAGCCACTGAGACCCGAGGCGGAAACCATGGCAGCGTCAGCCCGAGGACGTGGCCTCCAGGTCCCTCTCTGCAGACCTTGACCTTTGTCCTTCCACTTCCAGGTGCCACTAACTCCCAAAGGAACGGCAAGTGGCACTTCCAATGTCAGAGCTGAACCGTAGCTGTGCTGGTACCGGCAGATTCACGTCCTGCGCTGGACTCTGCTTTCCTCACAGTGGAACGCTTCAGGGAGGCTCTGTTGGGTTGCGTAAACTGTCCCTACAGCAGGAACCCGGGGCCCAGAGGCGGGCAGGTGCGCTCCCCCTGGTGGATAAGAGTAGCAGCTGCAGGCTTTCTGGGAACCTGCGGGGCCACACCCTTCCTCTGGGGCTTTGCCTCTGGGCATTAACAGTGATTTGTTTGGATGGCTTCGTTAGCGACTCAGCATTTAGCCTTTGATTTGCCTTCCGGGGTAGACTTCCCGAACCCAGAGCTGAAGGCTTTTGGGCCCTGTAATTTACATGTGCAAAGGACTACCCCGGGGGCCTTTCTCCTCCTTCCCCTAGCTGCTTTACCAGCCTAGCCCACATGCTGCTCCTGGGATCACTGCAGAATTTCGAGCCCTGAACCTTCTGGAGGTGGAGCCTATCCCAACCACAATGTTGGGGAGCCCCCTCTCCCACAAAAGGAACTTATTCTTAAGAGCGATGTTGGTAGCTTGAGGAAAACCAAAATACCACAGCCTAGGAACAAGTTTGTTTGCGCAACGCGTTCTTATCAGGACCAAAATCTGTCTCACTAGCTGCGGGGGGATGGGAAGGTTGGCAGGGAGAGCTCACCAGAGAGGGGAAAGGTTCCAGCTCTTCCGCCTTTCCCTACACCTACAGATGCTTCTGTCACCATTCTTTGCAAGATTCAGAGTGCTTGGATTTTGCAGTTTCAAAAGGCCTTTCTGCCCCCCACCCCCATGTTGGTCTTGATTGTAATTTTTTTTTTTTTTTTTTTTTTTCTTTTTGAGATAGGGTCTCACTATGCAGTTCAGGCTGGCCTTGAGCTCACTTTGTAGCTCAAGCTGGTCTTGAACTCGCAACGACCCTCCTGTCTCAGCCTCCTGGGTGCTGGGATTACAGGCATGATTGTAATTTAGACCATATTTTTTCTCTTGAAAAACTGTTGCTTTCAGACACAAGGAGAATATTTAAACCTCTCTGCATTTCCTGCCCCAGAAGTAATTCTCTAAAGCAAAAGAAACACAATGATCAAATTACAGAAATGGAATTATAGAACTGGTAGCGCTCAAGGGGCCTTTGGAGATGGGTCCGGGGAAGGCCCAGAGCTGGGAAGGCTTTGTCCTTGGTGCGGGCGGCGGCCAAAGGAAAGAATCAACACTCTCCACTCTGGGAGTTTTACTTGGGGGCTGTGATGAACAAATGGTGTGGAAGAACTTTTAAAATGCACTCAACACTTGAGAAAAGCAAAAAGCAAAGTTCCCACTCTTACCCTCCTCGCCCCAAGGAATCCTGGTCACAGCACGTCCCTCAGGGCAGTCAGCTTATTTCTTCACCACACGCTGGTGCGGCGCCTGCCTTAAGGGACCGGGACCGCGTGACCCTGACCCCCTTTATGGAAGGGAAGGACAAAGAGAAAAATGTGGGCGGGTGGTTCAGATACACTCACGCAGGGGTGACATGCGGTTTCTTTCCCGTAAAGGGACAGCTAGTGAATATTCCACACGGCTGTGGTCCATGTGTCCCTTGTCACTCTGCCCCTGGGCCAGGCAGCAAGTGCGGACAATACGGAAACCACTAGGTGTGGCTGTGCCCACAGAGCTTTATGGACGCTCAAGTTTGAGATTCACATCATTTTCACAAAGTGTGCTTCCCCTTTTGATGGTCTTTCAGAAATGACACTCTAAGCTTTGCGGGACCAGAAGCCCGATCTGGGTCCCCTTTCCTGAAGAGAGACCGAGGAGGAGGAGAAGAATTAATGGAAAAGCAGAGAGCTCAACGCGGGCCGGGAAGTAGCAGAGGAGAAAAGCGGGCGACGGGCCGAGCGCCTCGCAGACGGCGGGGACAGGAAGAGGAGGGAGCGGGGCGGCGAGGCCAGGCTCCTCCCGCGGGGCCACAGCCCTCGGTTTCGGCTCTTTGTGTCTTGGCCTTTTGCCCGTCGCTTACTGAAACTGATTTCCCCAGGACGCAGGCGACCACGTTTGAAAAGTTCTCCCCCTGACCTTACAGATCCACCTAGGAACGCCTCCCCGAAGTGCAGTCCGGCTTAGAGTTCCTCGCGCACCCCGGCCTGGGAGAGGGCTGCGGGCCGCGGAGGGGCCCAGGGGACCCCGCCCGGCCCGGCTCTTCTTATCTACGGTAGAACACAAAAGAACCCCGGTGGCCGCCCCTAGGCTGTGGCTACAGGTATAATTTTAGGGCCGCTGCTTTCCGTCCTTGCTCCTCTAATTGCCTTTTCCTGATCTGTTTCCTGCCACGTCCACGCCGGTCTCAGCGATAAAGCCTGGCGCCCAGCCCGCCGCCTCCCCTCTGCACCTAGGCTGGAAGGAAAGTGGGGAAGCCGGGCTTACCGAGCGGGTCGGAGCGGAGCGCAGCGCAGCGTCCGGGCGCAGGACCTGTGGACTAGCTGAGTCCACTGCGAGCACTGGCCCTGCCCGTCCGCGCCACGCCCGCCCCGCGGGCTCCGCCTGCTCCAGCCTGACTCGGCCCACCCCGCCCGCAGGTCCCGGCTTGCCCGCCCGCGGCCTCCTCCGCTAAGCACACAACTTGGCCTTTAAAGTCACGTACAGCCATTGTCCTCTCCGGGAGGGAACCGAGTTTTCATTCTCTTTCCTTGTCCTGTAAACCTTGCAGACTTTAAATCTCAGAATTAAAAGTTTCGCAAAGCGATCTGCCGGCAGTCTGTCCCGGGTCTTTCCATGTACCAGGGGCCGCCAAAAAGCAAGGTGAATGTTTACATTTTAAAACGTTCACTAAGGTAAAAGACATTACCATTAACCCCCTCAAACTGCTTCTCCTCGCCGGGGCACACTTGTCCCGTGGTTCTTCCACTCTCGGAACCAGTGCTGCAAGACCTGTTTCCTGAAGGTCTTTACGAGTTGTAATCAACAGTGAAAGTATGGTGAATACTGCAGGCTCGTGAAATATGGCGCATCTTCATCTTTTTTTTTCTTTCTTTCTTTTTGATACACGGTCTTGCTAAGTAATGCAGGTTGGCCCGGAATTCACGGTGATCCTCTTGCCTCAGCCTGCTGAGTGCTGGGATTACAGGCATGTGCCACCACGCCTGGCTCATCCATCCTTTTTGTTTTTTTTCTTTTTTGGTTTTTAAGACAGAGTCTCATTTACATAGTCCAGACTGGTTTGAACTCACATATATAGCCTAGGCTGGCCTAGAATTTGTAGTAATCCTCCTGCCCCAGCCTCCTGAGTGCTGGGATTACAGGCATGCACCACCAAACCTGGCTTCTCATCCATTTTATTCACAGGATCTGGCATCTGGCACTGTGCAACTTCTGGCTTTTCCTCAAAGCTAAAATGATCATGAAAGGTGAACGTTTTGGATCAGTTCAAGAGGTTGATGCAGCCAGAACAGTGAAATTAAAGACTTAAGAAAAAGGCCTTCCAGAACTGCCCCAGAAGGTGGCAAGAAGGATGGGATAAGTGTTTGAATGTGTGTGTGTGTATGTATGTGTATACGTGTAAGAGAGAGTATTTTGAGGGGGGTAATGACAGTCTGTCTTTTACTATAATAAATTTTAAAATTAAAATGCCTTGGGGCTGGGGATTTAGCTCAGTGGCACAGCGCCTGCCTGGCAAGCACAAGGTCGTGAGTTCGATCCCCGGTACTGGAAAAAAAAAAAATTAAAACCCCAAAATTGTCTATCATACAGTGTATGTGCTCCCTCTGCACATTCAGATTAGAGGAGCAGAGAAGTCCCTTTTAAAAACAAGGAAGAGAGTAAAGACAGCATGGGTCATAATCACAGAGCAGGTCCCCAGGAGCCAGGCTATCTATCTCTCCACACCGAAGATGCTTAATAAACAGTGGTGGTTATTGCCAGGTGGATTGCCACGGGATTGCTGATGGTTGCTGCCAAGGCACTATTGCCACTCTTCCCTCAAACTGTAAACTGATAACAGCCGAAAAGCGAGAAACAAAACCCTAAACCCAAAACCGAGCAATTGCAATTAAAAATTGACCTGTGCTAATATGACATTTTCGCAGTTTCAGTAGAGTTGGGAGTTTTATTAAGAACTAGAAGTTCTGGCCTCTAATCCTGGGTCCATAGCTCTGTTGTAATACTTTTTGACAAGAACCGTCGCCGTAACCTCTGAGGTTCCATTTCCTCATGTGTTAACTGGTCGGGTTGCCTTTCCTATTTCACAAGATTGTTATGACTATCAGGTAAAGTGCTGGTTTTGAGGGTGAAGGTTTCAAACCCTGCAGAGTAAATGGGGCCTGAAAGCGCTGGGCCACTAGGCATTTTGGTACCTGTCCTTGTGCTGTTCACCGGCTCAACACAGCAGGCCAGATCTTCATCTCTGCGCTCCGCCTCTCCAGACCCACATTTTTTGTCACTTATTTGGGAAATTGAAAACCCCGTCTGTGCATCAAGACTCGGTAAATCAAGAAAGATTTCATTTTCCCCAAACCAGTTGTCTCTGGCTTCCCTTTCCCTGCCACGGCCCTGCCCCCCCTCCATTTTCCCTGCCTGAGAACATTAGAGCTGTTCTGGGGACTTGTCACGGTTCTTGTCTGGATGTCCCCCCAAAGCCTCATGCAGTCCTGGGGCAGCTTCTGGAGTTTATGATAGATTCATGGTCCAATGCTGGGAGTATAGATATGAGTGCTACACCTGCCCTGGGGTGGGTAGTTTGCATACAATATAAGTGGGGGGAAGAGGCTACTTTCTGCTGTTCCTCCCTTTTTGCTCTTGCTGCTTTTCCTGTCTTCTGCCCCCATGAACTGTTGCCGTGTACCATGTGCCACCCTGCCTTGGAGCTGGCTGAGTATGGACTGAAACCTCCACAAACTGTGAGTTAAATAAACCTTTGCTTCCTTAATTTGAGGTGTCAGTTATTTTGTCTCAGCAACAAAAGAAAAATAACCAAGACAGAATTTGGTACCAGAGAAGTGGGGTCGTTGCTGTGACCATACCTGACCATGTTGTTAAAGAGCCTTTGGAAATGGCTTATGGGAAGTGTTTGGAAAGGTTTGGAGATTTTGCCTGAAAGAGAAGTGCTAGAATGCCTTCAGCTGTTCTGTATGGGAGATACTGGTCAGAGCTCAGAAGACCAGAAGGCTGATAAAAATCCTGCCAGTAAAGACCAGACTTGGAAGGTTTCTGCTGGGAAGGACTGCATTGGGTGCTGGACTCCAGACGGTGTGTGTTATAGCTTAGCAGAAAGTTTGTCTGCATTTTGCTCATGTCCAGAGACTTTGCCTGACTGAGATTAAGGGTGCTGGACTGATTAACCTGGCAGATTTCAAGGCAGTTGAATGTTGAGGTAGTAGCATGGCTATTGTTGGAGGCTTTCAGCCAAATTTATTTTGAGAATCAAGAGCAAAGAGCCCAGCAGGATGATTTAAAACACTATGAGTCTAGCCAGAAAGAAAACTCCAGTAAAGCTGCGGACTGCAAAAATAGAGTGAAGGAAATCTTGATTGCTGAGGAGGAACTAGAAAATAGAAAGATGGCCTGAGGACATCACTAAGAGCAGCAAGTTTCCACCCTCTGCAGCCTCAAACCTGCAAAAGTGAAAGACTGCTTTGAGAAAAAGCCACAGAACACCATGTTCCAGAATGGCAGCAGCAGCCATACCAGGTTCCAGAATGGTGGTAGCATAGAGAATTTGTTCCTCAGAATCAGGTTCAGAGTGCTCAGCAATCCAGGCACTAAACCCCTACAGCCAAGAGAGAAGAAAGCCTGGCTGCTGCTCCAGCTGGCAGTGGACCTTAGCATCATGCATGTGGCACTGATTTTATTTTATTTTATTTTATTTTTTTTATTTTAAAGAGTAAAAGAAGGATAACATAATAATAGGGGGGACTTACCAAATTACAGACAAAATGGTAGGAAATTATCAATGGTTATTGTTTTACATATTGTTATCTACAAAATAGTTTCTCAGGAAAACAAATAGACAAATAATAGTGAGTTAGAGACAAAAGAGGTAGGAGATTATCAATACTATACTTTGGTATCTTCAAAGTGGCTTCTAAAGAAAATAAATAGAGCTATACATGAGTGACCTATTGAAAAATCATTAACTATTCTCAATGGTTGTTGTAGGAAACACATAATAATAAACATACATCCACTTATGAAATAGGATAGGAACATTACAAACTTTACACAGTTATGGATAGATTAGTAGGAAAATATCAATGGCTGCTGTAATACATGGTGGTATCTTCAAAGTGGTTTCTCAGGAAGACAGAGATACGCAAGAAGGATCTCATAAGTAGTTACAGCCTAAGGGTTGTCAAAAATAGCATATTACCTCCTCACCAGTGACTCCTTTCACTGAGGTATGATGGCTGGAAGGAAGGCCAGGATTGAAAAGAAGGACCGAGAGACTTGCACCTGTGTCTAGCAACAGGCTGTTTTCTTGTTCCTCCATAGTCATGATTACCCAGGACTCCTCGATGGAGATGACGGTCTGGCCAGAGGGAGAAGGCAGAGTATGCCCCTAGCCCTCTCATTCCTGTTGGACTAACTGGTAGCATGGGTCTGAGCTCTGGGCCTCCACTTCAGAGGGCAGACCGATCTCCAGTGGTCTCCTTTGCATTCAGGGCATGGCCCATGGGGCCTCTTAGGGCAGTTCCTCTTGAGGTGGCCTGGCTTTTAACAGTGGTAGCAGATGAATGCAGTTGTCGAGTTCTTCTTGGGGCCCCAGGAATCAGACTTGGGATCTGTTTCTCTTAGTGGTGCAGCAAAAGCAGCTGCTTTTTCTCGGTCTCTTTGTTTTCTCTCCTTGGCCTCTTCCTCATCATGGCTATAGAATACTGAGGAGGCAATTCTTACTAACATCTCAAGTGAGCTGTCTGGGGTGAAAGCCATTCTTTGTAGCTTTTTCTCTCCAGCTTCCCATTGTTTTGGGACCCCACAACCAGTTAGTGTCCTCTCCCCAACTGTCATCACAGGCAGCAGGAATCTTGCTGCAGACCTCTCCAGAGCTCCACCACAGCCTGTACTGTCAGGGGAAGAATGGCTTCCAATGAGTCTCCGCAGGTTTTGTGCAAGGTCCTCCTGGTTTACAGCTTCCGAACGGCTTGCATGAACCCAGTCCACAGGACCTCTGATTCCTCGGGCTTAGTCTGTATTCTCATGTTCTCCGAGTCCTTGTTCAGCAGCTGCTCCTCCGCTGACTCTGGACCTTTCTGGTTCTCAGTGGCAGGAGCAAGAGTGACCTGTTGTATGGCATGTATTCCCAGGGGTTTCTCCATGTTTGAATGATTCAGACACGTCTGTGGGTGGGCATCTGCAGCTGGTGCATGGTGGGCCAATTGTGTCATTGTTTCTCTGTGTCATGGTAGTTCTCAACAAAGCAGCGGTGGCCAGCCTGAGGGCTGGCATGCAACAGCACTCACCGCCGTGTGGCTTCCCGTGCACCAGAGCCCCTCCTAACAGGTGCCTGTTAGGCTGGGGGCCGGCCCAAGGGCCAGCCATCC